GACTCCACTGCAAGGCGGACGTTACGCTCTCCGGTCCTCACGTTTGTAGTAGGCAAACTGCAGGTAGTGATACATGGTGGCGGCGAACTTCTCCACGAAAAATCCCCCCACGTTGGGCGTCAGGTTGGCCTCGCATTTCGCCTTGCACCTCAAGACGTCCGTGTAGAGAGCTGGGGCAGGGGGGGCAGGGGGGGTCATACATAGTTATTAAAGACACTACTTACAGCATGCAGGATTGTTTTCACATCGTGACTCCTGGATTCAGCTGTAGAGCAACATGCTAACGAATATTTACATCTGACGAAGCAACCCGATGTGTAGAATGTATAGACCGTATCGTTTAGTTGGCGTTAAGATGATACTGATGGTTTGAGTACAGCAGCTGTGCTACGTGCTTCCATCTTGGGTACATTGGGGTGGGGTGGGGGGCTATGGTCACTCACCTGCCAGCGAAGGGAAGTAGCCCTTCAACTCGGTGACCTCGTAAGCGCCCTCGCAGCCCGCCTGGCAGAGGTCGAAGGCCACGAAGTAATCGCTGGTCGCCTGTTCCATGTGCCTGGCGCTGCTACTGAAGTCTCCCAAGTTGAAGAGCTTGACGGCTTTGAGGAACAGACCCTACGGCGAGGGGCGACGAACGCAGGCGTCAGACACGGGGGGCAATCAGCTGTCGGGCGTCACGGGTACACAGGTACGACACTACTGCGCCCCTCGTCCGCCGAGCTACTTACTTCTTAATTACAGAACTTATTTATAATTAAGGGCAGCATGGTAGCTCAGCGGGTGTTGATGGCCTTCTCCATCCCCCCCCCCCCCCCCATGTCACAGAGTTTCTCCCGCAATCCAAATACATGCAGTTAGGCTAATTGGTGCCTCTAAACTACCCCCAGTCCTCTGTCCTGTGCTGCCACAGCGCCCCCCCTGTGAGTCAGGCAGGACAAACAGTTTAAGCATGAATGGATATACACACAAAGTATATTTATAAGTATATTTATAAAGAATTATGTATTTATACCTACTCTGTTCCAAATGATTCATTTTTATCCCCCATGTTTATCCCCTGAGATCAAATTTTTAATAAATTTTTTATTTTTTTTTTAACTCCCTGAAATTAAGTGTTGGCATGGTAAAAACCCCCCCCCCCCCCCCCCGAAAGCTGCTGGGGAGCAGCCCTGCCCCCCCTCACCTCGTACGGCCGCTCCTCGTGGTCGATGAGGTACTCTTCCACATCGAACAGGGTCTTATAGTAGTCCATGTTCTTGCTGATTTGCGGGTCGCCCGGGTTCTTCTGCAGGAAGGTGTGGGCCGCAGACACGGCCTTCTCCAGGTTGTTGATCTAATGGCGATGCGGATGGGGGTCGCGCGTCACTTTCATGCAGTGTAATGGTGTGGGAAGACGGCGTGCTGTTTGATGTTAGCATTTTTAGTAAGAAATGATACATTTAAAACTGATTTTACTAATTGCATTAGTACTGTACAAAGTCAGGGGTGCACTAGGTTCCCCCGCCCCCCCTCCCTCAGGCTTCCAGTGGGGTGACCTGAGGTCAACCCACCCCCGCCCCCCCTCCCTGTAGCCTGCCTAGCTCACAAACTAGAATCAGGGAACTCACTCCGACAGTTAATTGACCCACACGGTGACATGGTATAATTGACGTGTTGTTGTGCAAACGAGCGATAGAAAACCCATCGTGCAAATGTCACGACCAAGACGTTTTTTTTTTTTTTGTGCAAGATACCGCCTTGGTCAGCTGAGCGTGTCGCCCATACTTAAATCCACCAGTGGATGTTAGAAAGCAAACACTTATTGGGTACCTTCAATCACTGCCTATCCACTGCAGGCATGCAGTGGAAGAAATGCCACAACAGTTACTAAACCAAAACCTTTTAAATGTATTTATCCATTTCCAAATGTACTTTGATGCATCTGCTAAGACTTGTAAACACTATGACCACAGATGAATTGATATACTGGTAGCATAATCTTATCAGGATCCCACTGCCTGCTGTAGCTATTGCTCTTGTTATGGATACAAATTCAAGCGATACGCTCAAGGAGCAGCAGATTCTGCATGCAGTGCTGTTACTGCAGAAAGACAAACTCCCATACTGTGCAGACTTGCATATTCCTCCCTTGCAGTGCTGCTGTTTAAATCTTTGTAATCTGTCAGTGGTTACAGTCAGCTGCCAGTATCTATTAAACTGGCCAATGACTCTGGGCTCCTTTACATATACAGTAAGTGTAACGTAATGGGGGTGATGCCCAAAGGACTCCCACTGTGCCATTTGCTCAAAGAAGTGAATACACATTTCCCACGAGATCAGATATTATGTGGCTCTTAATTAAGTACTATTTAAAAACACAATGACATGATAAGATGAGGTGGAGAGCATGTAAGACATGTATAAGCAAAATGTATAATAATATTACAGACAAAGGTACATTCAGAAGAACAAAAAACGCGATAGACTGGATAAGGCAACCAACGCCTATTGGTTGACACAGAAAGAACTTAAAAAAAAAAAAAACATCTTTTTTTTCTTCTTTTTTTTACAAAATACTCATTTGTTGGCATACTTGTGTAAAGTGTGTAGTGCCTTATGCACTCCTATATTGCCTGGATGCAAGAGTGGAAATTTTTTATTTATTTTTTTTAAATGGAAAGTGGATTCACAGATGAGTCTGGTGGATCTTTTAGACAGACTGTTTCTTGCTACAAGCTTCGGCAAATTGCAGAGGGAAAAAATGTCTTGTATCCAATGTATAAGACAATTAATCTAAATACATAAGCCTCACAAAGGCGGCAAAATTCATTATTACTCCCCAATAATTAAAATCCGGAATCGAATTCGAATCCACACGGAAACCTCGCTCGAATACGCGTCCTAAGTTTAACATCATTGAGTGGTTATTAAGGCGACTGGTGTGTAAAACAGTAAATCAGAGTCTGCTTTTCCGAAGATAATGCAGCTTTTGTTGGAGTGGGGGGGTAAGCGCTGTACATGCCTGCAAGCTGGGGTACGTGGCACATGTGGCGCCCCCAAGCACGATCACCGGCGAGTCGCGAGAAAAACTCAGATTATTTGTCCAGACGCAGCCATTCAAACTTTCGCTGATACTTCTTACGTCCAAAGAGACTTATTCGATGTAAGGCGACTGCATTAGTCGCAAACAAAATTAAGCGCATGGAAGATTCGAACAGATATATTAAGTGTTTGTTTGTTGCTTGACAAGAAGTTCATTACATCGAGTTACGGTACACTGGAGTCATGTACCCTCTGGTAGCTTAAGCAATTTTACAGACAAAAGTAGTTAAGATATAGTTTATGCAAATATTTTAATCTAAATGCAAATTCTTCCTGACATCTGCAAGTAATGTGGTAGGAAAGAGTGTTCGTAAAAGGACGGTCTTACAAAAATACACGCAAAAAAACACTAGGCTATGCGTTACACTTAAATGTTACTGTCATTTCACTAACAGCAGCTAGTTTTCCTAACTTTCCCGGGTGACTAATTGTAAAGCTGTCCGCGATCTCACCTGGAACTGGGCATACTGTATGTAACGATACGGTATCCTCTTCTCGAAATCATCCAGGACGTCTCTCCTGGGGTAGGACACGGTGAACACTGGGAAGTTCGCCTTGCACTTCTTGAGGCAGGACGCCCGCAGTACGATGTGCCGGACCAGCAGCAGAGTGCTGTCCGTGAAAAGAGCGTCGTGCTCCCGGCTGACGCTGCTGCAGTTATGGCTGCAGAAAGCGTCGCAGTCCTTCAGCAGGCGGTGCAAACGCAAACTCAGCCCAAGGAACTTAAGGCTCTCCCTCCAGTTCTGTGCCGCATACTGGTCCAATGCATAGCCGTATGCGGTTTCCAGTGGCATGATATCATTTTGCGGAAAGCTCTTAAAGCTGTACTTCTCATACTGCGCATCCCCAGGCGTCAATAAAACCATCCACAAAGAAAGGAGCAGCGGGATGAGTTTTGCGCACCCAGCGTCCGGAGCCATGATGTATTCATCTGTTGCTCTCGGCTCGCTCCTAAAGTACGAACATGCCTGCCTGCCTGCACGTATATTAGGTCGGGCGGAGGTAAGGAAATAGTCAAAGGAGGAGACGCAAAATCCAGGTCCTGAAGAAGTACTTCCAGAAGTCAATCCAATAGTGCTCCAAGTCTTTAAATCCCAGGGTCATAACGCCCAGAATGTTCCTCAGCCCGATCACACATGCGCTGCAATACTTTTTAGAAATACAATATATCACATTATTATTTAGTCTACGCCTACTATAAACAATCAATGAATTATCTTGCTGAGGAAATGTTTCGTCGTGTTTTTTAGCGATGAAAGAAAAACACTGGGGGTAATATGAAATATTATTAAATATTTGATTATTTTGGAGGTCCATTAACTTTTTATTGGAGACATTTTCTTCTCTGAATGCGGGTGATATAAAATATTTGAGTAGAATTTGGTGTAAAATGCTCGAGATCTTATCAATATGGCTATTAAACTGAACTATCCTACAAAATCCGAACCGATGGCAAAGAAAAGCCTGTGGTTACGAAATGCATGCTTCGTAAATCAATCGTGTAAATGTTTTGATTTGCAGAGAATAACACGATTACAATTCCGGTGTTCAGCATATACAGCTACAACCTTCCTCCTATCTTATATTTTAGATGAAGCTCAGAATTATGCTCTTTTCAGATCTCATTAATGCTGTTAAGAAGTAGAATACAATACAAACATATCAAATAGTAGGCGAAAGTCTTTCATGTTTAATCAAAGTTGTAAAGAAAAATATAGTTTCTCTGTTTTTATTTGTTAGTTTATCAAGATTTATAGGCCAGCCTGTCTCCTATGGAATATCTTGAAGTAAAAGTAATTCTTTCTTGAAATAAATGATTACTCTTACCAATAAACTTTAAATGTAGCAAAGATGTAGGCGTAAATGTATACAAACTTTTAAGATTCGGATCAGGTTTGTATAAAATGCGTTTGCGCGAACAAACGATATTTAGGACCCTGATCCGTCTAAGCAAACGGACCCGCGGCTCTTCCTGTAAAGATCAGATGTGTGATCAAACAGGGAATTACTGTAGCGCCGCTTACTCCAATAATATGCACGTTTTACATCAAAACAACTCTACTACTTAGCTATCAGTGTCTGTTTCTAAAATGCCAGACTTCCACGTACAAGTGAATTTCTTAATATTGTGGAACAGTGACGCACTCCTCCGAACGGAAGGCGATAGCGACGTGTTCCAAAAGGACACTTTACACGTTTACAAAATTTCTTGGAGAAGGAGGGAGCCTGCGGAGAATCATCTGATCCAACTCCCTGCCAGACAAAGCAGAGAGCAGCGCTCCTCCACAGCACGTAGAGCTGCAAGGCTGCACCTTTAGATCTGGGTAGAACAAGTCTTCTCACGAACCACTAAACACTATATCTCTGTTCAGAGGTTATTTAAGAATGGAGGCGCAGTTTGCTGTAGTTTTTCTCTGCGCTGCGGCAGTGCACGTAGGGTGTATCCCGAGCCCGGTAGAGGACGTGGTCATTGAGCGTTATTACATACCCAGAACATGTGCCAGAGAAGTAGAAACAGAAGATTTTGTTCGTTATCACTATAACGGAACCTTCCCGGACGGAAAGAAGTTCGACTCGAGGTAATGTGTAAGATGCGTGGTCTGGGATGGGGTGGGACAAGGGTCCCGATTCCGGGCAGCAATGGATACGGCTTTTTGATAACTGATACCATCAAGCGTGATGAGACGTTTACAGCAGAACTCCGGGTGTCTCTTTGCAAAACGGACCAAATGGAAAAACATGACTGGAGTTTTCTTATTTTTAAAAGGTTATCATGTTTTTTTTTTTTAAACATATTGTTAGTGCCGCAGTATAAGAAACTAAACTCAATCGGGGCAGGCAATATATTAGTTAAGGCAATGATAATTAGTAAGAATTGCTTCTATAAAACACCTAGTTGTCTGAATGGTTGCTAAAAAACGACATAGTCACTACAGGTAAGTGCTTCAGTAAAGTGACTAAATGTCATGTGAATGTTAACTGTCACTTATTTTCATTTTAACTTACTATAGGTTACCTATCAACACCTTACTCTGCATGCTGGGTCATTGTACTGAGATTCAATAGCTGTTATTGCATAAAGGGATATTCTGGTGAAAATAGAGAGGTTACTAGGTGTGCCAAGTATCTTCTTTGGATTTAATAAATTACTCCCTAAAAATATTATTACTACATGTAGGCTGAGTAATAAATACTTATGTCATCAGAAATCACATTAACATGTCTTACTTATCCATCTGTGTACTGTGTTGTCATAATGGGGGGTGGGCATGGGTGGGCTGGTTTGGAGTGGCTTCACTTAATATATTGATCTGTTGTTCAGCTAATTAAAAATAAAGTTGTCATCTAAAGTGGGGGGCTGGGCCATGAAAAAAAAGAAATCACATTAACACAAAAAATTGGCTGTATGGTTACCAATCACTTAAGATGATTGCACTGATACACCCCCCCAACAAACCACCTCAGGGATGAGAACCTGAGTGCAGCCATGTGGCAGGTGATACCACAGCACCACACCAGTCCAAATGGACCAGTGTGAGTTTTTTCCCCCCCAGTGGCTGAAGTGCCAATCCTGTCACCAAGTTTTTCCCCTGTAAGTTGGAAGACCTCCTTAAAGGGCTGGATGTAGAGTAACATCATACCCAGGATGAAGCAATTGCAGGTTATGGGCCTTACTCAAGGGTCCAATGGAGTAGAATTTCTCTGGGTTTTCATGGGATTTAAACCAGCAACCTTCCAGTTGCAGGCACAGATCCCTAACCTCAGAGCCACCACTCTACCTGATCTCTTAATGATTAGAAAAAGGTGAAATTCACCACAGGATTGTTTATGTAAATATGAGCGACAGGCCTGACTGTTTTGCTTAGAATTTAACCTATTAGGGAGCCTTTAACATGAATTTCTCCTCTGTATCTGTTTTCTGTGCCTAATTAGTTATGACCGCGGACCACCGCTGACGGCCCAGGTGGGACTGGGGAGGCTGATCACAGGCATCGACCGAGGAATACTGGGCATGTGTGTCAATGAGCGCAGGAGAGTGACCATCCCTCCCCATCTGGCCTATGGGAGCCTGGGGGCAGGTATCTGTGGGCGGGGCCTGGTTCACGCTTCCTGTTGGCTAATGACAGATATAGTTCAAATAGAGCTATGAATCACTAAAAAATATTAGCTAATTAATCGCACGGTTTTCTGTTAATTGTGATCAATTGCACCTAATATTAAAACTTACAATATTTACACATTGAATCCCTAAATTAATGAAGAATTAACATTAAAGTATATGGGTCATTCACACAAACTCATTACCATAACATTTTTTTTTCTGATATTTAAAATTAATTTTAATACAACTTCATTGTTTAAACTGTTGTATTTGCCTCTGGGGTAGTTAATCTGTTTTATTATATTACCTTTTATTTTTGTATTAAACAAAAAAAAAAATCAATGACAACCAAAAATTTTGCAAAAATATACATCATGTCATACAAATTGATTGTCTGTTGTGGGTTGCATGCAACAAAGTTGAAAGATTTTAAAACATTTTATCTAGTTTTGTGGGGGGTTTTTTTTATTTATTTGGGGGAAATGGTTAAAAAATTCATCAGGTTATACCGACAATTTTAAAATACCCAAAAAGTTTAATGTCAATGCTCTACACAATAATCAAATACTATATTTCGTTGTAACTTCTAATCTTAATTTTGTGAGAATGACCCATATTTTAATATTTGTGTAATGGTTTAGCTTAAAGCTGTGAAGTATAAGTATATATTATTCATTTGTTACAAAAATACTATTTGCAAGCATTTAAACGGGCTAGATGCGCATTTGGCAATAAGACAATAAAGGGTTTTGTATTATAAGTAGGGATGTTAAATATTTGTTTTTTTAATCGCACACCTTGGCATTTAATTGCCACGTAAATATAACCAAATATAACCAAACATATAACGCATGATCGATATAAAACCTATTTGGCGAACGGCTTTTTAAAAGAAGCATCATAACCACTGATGGTATTTAATAACATAAAAGATCATTTTTTTTCTTAAAACAAAGCAGGTAACATCCGCTTTCCTGTGAGATGTTAACGGAATAATTTGATTATAGCTTTGAATTCTGGGATTCTGTGCATCATCACAACCTAAACTATCGCATTGCTTACAGCCAGGAAGGAATATTATAGGTGCCTATTAAAAATCCTTCCTCTTACCATTCTTCCGTTTGTGCATTAAAATATGCATTAGTGAAATCACAGAAATAACGAGTTGTGACTTTAAAATGAACACTCTAACGCGATAAAATTAACAGGCCTAATTAAACCCCTAAAATAAACTAGAAGAGAGTACATCAGATAAAAGCAATTTGGATATTTTGAGCATCCACATCAGAAAAGAATTTGCGTGTTCATGGTCTGATTTAGCAGGTTTTTAGACTGAAAGAAAAATATGGCTGTAAAATATATAGATAATTTAGATAAACAGCCATTTATATAAAAAGTATTTTCCAACTATTAATAAGTATTTTGACAAAGTCACTAAAGTATCTTATTTCTGTCTATCATCAAGGAAATTTAAATTTTAAAAAACAAAATGAGTTAAAAAGTCAGTTTAATCAACCTTTAATACGTTTTTAAATATTTGATTTCTTTACATCTTGTCCTCAAAACATCTTGGTGGGACTAAGAGTCCTTAAGAACAAACACTAATTACAATGCACTGTCAGAAAATAAATAGTTCAGTCTTGCTATAACTTTGTTTCCCAAGGTACAAGCAACATAAATTAGTCCATTTACCTTATTTATTTGTGATTGTTGATACACCACAGCACACAGTGCACAACAACGAAATGTGTCCTCTGCATTTAACCCATATGTGACTTTCGTGACATAGCAGGGGGCAGCTAATTCAGCGCCCGGGGAGCAGTACCTTGCTTAGGGTACTTCAGTGGCGTCTTTCTGATTGGGGATTTGAACCTGCAATCTTCCGATTACGAGTGCGCTTCCCTAACCATTAAGCCACCACTACCACTCTAGCTAGGGTACAATTGGCAGTCCCTTGAAGGTACAGTCCCAGTGACATGTAATTGTACTCTGAAAGGTACAAATTATTACTATTTTTTTCTGATAGTCTGGTAGCCAAATTTATGGGGTTTTATACGCAGATCCAGACGGATGTGTGTGGGATTGGTGAAGTGGCAGTGCCAGGTTTGCTGATCAGCCTCCGGCTACGATGCCCTCTAACCATCTCCGGACCCACGCCTCTCTCCCTCTCAGGGAGGGTGATTCCACCCGACGCCACACTGGTGTTCGACCTCATCCTGCTGGACCTCTGGAACTTGCAGGACGAGGTGGAGATGCGCATACTGAGGAAGCCCAAGAGCTGCCGGCGTGCCGCGCAGGCCTCTGACTTCATCCGCTACCACTACAACGGCACGCTGCTGGACGGCAGCTCCTTCGATTCCAGGTCAGCTTCTTTCAGATTCTTTGTTGGCTGTAAGCGACAGCTACATTGGAATACTTACTTATTCGCTCAAAAATGTTCTGGGGGCAGAAGGGGGAAAAAAAATCATTGGTTCAGAGAGATAACCAATCAGATTATAGAGGAAGTGGGTCCAAACAACTAGAGGAGGCCAATCAGCCAACCAATCAGATGTCTTGGTCCAGCCTCCTCTAGTTGCTTGGACCCACTTCCTTCTATAATCTGATTGGTTCTATCTCTGAACTAATAATTTTTCCTTTTGCCCTCAGAACACTCCCATAAGCTACTTATTCAGCTAGATTTGGTTAAAAAACACTCTACAAGACAGTATAAAACAAATCAAGACTGCTTTTAATGTGCCAGAATAGCAGCTGGGTATAAATTATAATTATTCTGGAAAGAGTTAATAATTTAAGGTACAAATCTAAGTGGTTTGTGCAGAGTGTGGAGGTTAATAAGATCTGTATGAACTGAAAGACGTACAGAGAGGCAGATTATGGGATGGGGATGTTGTTTGAGCATTACTTTATTGTGAAAGGATTCAGTTCTCAAGCAATATTATTAATAATTACACACAATTGGTTAGTTATAAGAAAATCGACTATTATTCAATCGTTGTGTTTGTCTCAGGGTTATTCCCTTTTTATTGTTTGATTTGGTATTGTTTTTTATGTTATTCATAGTAGTTCATACAATGCAGCTCTCAAATGTAACTTTTCTACAATGCACGACTTTTTACTTTGTTGCTATGCAGCAGCACTGCAGTAATATTGAAATAGTGACACTGTTGACACTTTTGAAATCATTTTAGCTGCAGTTTTTAATTGTGTTATAATTGCATTTCAAATAGAATCGTTTACTTAGTTTGAATTTTTATTTACTTATCTAAATGAATAAATGCCTTGTTTTTAACTGCCGTCGTTTGCTTTCATTGGCAGCAGTTACCGGGTTTGGGCCTGACTGTTCGGTATGTGCCCCACACAGCTACAGAAGGAAGCAGACGTATGACACCTACATCGGGCAGGGTGACTTAATCAAGGGGCTGGACGAGGGCCTACTGGGCATGTGCGTGGGAGAGTGGAGGACTGTCATTATCCCCCCTTTTCTGGCCTACGGAGAACAGGGATACGGTAACTCTGCACTGGCCTCAGAACTGCAGAATGTTATTTTATATGCAAAGTAAACATCAAAAACACCAACAGAGCAAAGGCTACATATGCATATACATGACATTTTTTGTTTTATTCTGTGTTGTTTATCTTGTTTACTGTTAGGCTTTTGTTGTGTTTTATTGCCTAGTAGTTGATGGGGTATTCAGTAAATGTTTATATTTGAATAAACACTGACACCCCGTTCATGCAGAGTTCAGTTGTACTGCTGTGTTAAGTCATTTTATGTAGCGATTTATGTTTCGTCTTGCTGTCTAAGCACCTCCCCCCCACAAATCCCTCCTCAGGTAAAATGATACCCTCCCAGGCCACCCTGGTGTTCGACGTTCTGCTCGTGGACGTGCACAACCCCAGCGATGACGTTGTCGTGGATGAGCAGGTGCTGCCCGTGTCCTGCGACCGCAAGTCAGCCGTGGGCGACTTCATCCGCTACCACTACAACGGCACCTTCCTGGACGGCACCCCCTTCGACTCCAGGTCAGCTTTTTGCATGTTCTTAAATTCATCTCAAGGTGCTGGCATGTTCTTAAGGTTTGGCAGGCTGCTGGTGGTCTTCCCTTTGTACATATGTTATGTTATGTTATTATGCCACGTTTTGCGTATGTTGTTATTTGTGCCAGCTGTATACTTGAGTGATATTGCCTGTGGAAATATCTGCATATGTAGTGGCTGAATGATATATTCTCATGATTACGACTGGGTGATATGCAATAAAAATGCAATAAAAATCACAATATTCTAAAATTCATATATAGAAAACTAAAATATGACAGCTAGTTTTCAGTTTTTCTGGTTATGATGAACCAATTTTTTACTAATAGTTACAGAGCATGTTACCGGTATTATGATAAATTATGCTAACAACAGACTTACGCCTTGTTGGAATTTGTTTAAAAATGATGCAATATAACTGTTAATTATGCAAGAGAACAAGTGTTTTGGGTATATCATGATACTTATGATATTCAAATTGATAATGATATGAATGTTCATAATCACAATATGATATTTTATCGATATGTCGCCCAGCCGTACTTGCGACTACACCATCTCACGCCTCTTTCTGTCCTTTGCCTCAGCTACCAGCGCAACAGCACCTACAACATCTACATCGGCATGGGCTATGTGATCCGGGGCATGGACAAGGCTCTGCAGGGGGTGTGCATGGGGGAGTGGCGGCGAATCACTCTGCCTCCGCATCTGGCTTATGGAGAAAACGGCTCCGGTTAGTTTGCAAGAAGGGGAGGAGAGAGATTAGACCGAGTGCCTGGGTGACCTCTTGGAGATCACCACTATGACTGAGTTTGAGTTTCCTTTGTTTTCGCACATATCATCCCAAATTATCGATATCAAGGTTATTGAGGGAGATAGTTCCTCATGATTTAATATAGGCAGATGGCAGTCAAGTTTCTGTGCTTTCTTAGCTTTGCCTTACATTAACTCAAGGACTAAAGCACCTAAATTACGTCGTAGCTTCATCTATCCATCTTTCATCTGCTCATCCAGTACAGGGTTGGGGGCTGGAGACTTTCCCAAGTAGTTGCTGATTTGTCCTGTCCTGCCCCCACCTGCAGTTGACCTCATCCCCGGCTCAGCTGTTCTCATCTTTCACATTCACATCGTTGATTTCCACAACCCCAATGACCCTGTGGACATCAAGGTGACGTACAAGCCCGACGTGTGCAACGTGACCAGTACTGCCAACGACCTGATCCAGTACAACTACAACTGCTCGCTGCTGGACGGCACACTGGTCTACTCCTCGTGAGTTTGCTCTTGCTGTTATGACGTTAGAGTCAGAGTCAACTCAGACCTTACTGGATAAGAGATTTTTGAAAAGAAATTGGTAGATCTGTAATGTGTGTCTGACTTAACATGAAAGTGATTACTCAGAGCAACTGTCAGTGCTGCATTTGGGTGATGATTTATTTAAAGTAAATGGTATTGGGTCAAACTTTATTATAATAGCACCTAAAATTGACAAATAGTATACTATTAGTATCACACTTGTTACGGTATTTTTATTTTATTGTGCTGGATTTGGGTCAGGTTTATTAAAAGTATATCATATTCGGTAAGATCAAACTACGACAGGATCAGCAAAGTTCTCCAGCTTTAATGACCTGTGTCTCCACTTGAGTGCAGGCACCACTATGAGCGACCTCAAGAGACTCTCCTGGGGGCCAACAGGGTGATCGCGGGGCTAGACGAGGGCCTGCGTGGCATGTGCGTGGGTGAGAGGAGAATGGTTATCGTACCCCCACACCTTGCCCATGGTGACCATGAAGGTAAGGGGCCCATTCTTAAAACCCTCTAGGAGGATCAGGCAGATCTGAAGTTAGGTAGACTTCCTTTGACTACATCTTCTCCATCTCCTCCATGCAGCACACGGTATACCAGCGAGTGCGGTGCTCCACTTTGAGCTGGAATTGATAGGTCTACAGAAGGGGGTGCCAGAGGGCTACCTGTTTTATTGGCTAGAGGACCCACCAGAGCCTCTCTTCCAGGCAATGGATTTGAACAAGGATAAGGAGATTCCCCTAGAAGAAGTGTGTGTTCCTATTTTCATATTCCTTTTGAGACATTATCATCTTTTTTAGATATTTATTATTCACACGTGACCTCCTGCATCTTCCCCCCGTTTACCCTTTGCAGTTCTCGGAATTCATCAAGATGCAGGCAGCAAACGGCAAGGGTCGCTTGTGTCCCGGCCAGGACCCAGGCACCATCATCAAAGACATGTTCGATAACCAGGACCGCAATAGGGACGGCAAGATAGTGGTGGAAGAACTGGAGCTGACAGAGGAGGTGGACAATGGGAAGGTCCAGCACGGGGAACTCTGAGGGACAAGGTGCATGTGTGACCGCGAAAAGTACATGGAACTAGATGTAAACACTTTCCTATGTTTCATTGAACTTATGCAGATCTACCCGATGAGTACATGGAATCACAAACCAGCTCACCTAAGATCCAACGTCCTTTTCACTCTTAAGGATTTAAAATTAATCATTAATCAAGAGAACATGGATGCATCTTGATGACTAATCATGAACTCCTCAGTGCTACAAAGCTTGAGGTATTCATAATCACCAGCTAAGGCCTCCAAGACTTCCTCTTGGGGTTTGTTAAACTGTAAAATAGACTGAACAAGGCTCTTTTGTGAGCTCCTTCAGAGGCCTTGGGAAGAGGGAGCCATTGAGACTCTGAGGACCCCTCTTGATCTGTTGTATATTAATTAAGCCAATACTGTTTCTGCAACCTCCTTCAATGCCCCCCCCGATTTTCATGTTTGCCTAGAGTGCACATTTTTTACCGTGCATCATCACTTCTCTTCCAGCCTAGGTTTCAGATCTACCCAACATAGATGCGAATTTTGGGATTAGTGGGACTGAGACATTTGAGGTTTATAATATGACGCGCAATATAACATTTCTTTCAGGTTCCTTGGCCTGTGTACTATGTTCAGAATACCTGAAATCTTCCTTAGTTAGAATCACCACATCGTATACCATCTTTCCTGTAGACCCACATGGAGTTTCTTTTCTCCTCCATGTTCTTGCACTTCCGTGTTGGTCATGAGCGAACACTGTAAAGTATCTTTATATAAACACTGGAGTAAAGCATTACAACGAAGCCCAACCCTTGGATCAAACATTTTAACATTTTTATTGTATGGGAACAACCAAAACATGCCATCACACCACGCTTCAGTAGCTGTTATCTTCTGAACAGACAAGCACAAAGCTGGAAGATACAGTCCACAATTGCTTAAAAACAAACCCTTAATGTAGCATCACACATCATACCTATGACGGAAGCAGCTCCTGATGGAAGGATAGTGCATTGACCCACCATGACAGTCCCCTCCATAAACCTCCCCTTCTCACAAAGACTTTAAAATCCACAGGTGTGTCTGTTGCATTCTGGACACCCAGAACATCTGGTCTTAAGTTCAGCACACAGCCCTCTGCCCAGTAGGTTGCATTATACTCCCACAACATCACTATCTTTGCTAAATATGAACCAAAAAAAAATCATTAAAATCAATATGAAAACCAACTAATGATCTAAGTGGACGTTTTTAGGTTTCATAAAAGCCATTACTGTGAAAAAAGGATAATTTACACTAGTGCTCTATCACCAACCGTGTCTGTCCCGTTTTATGTCTTCACAACACATCCTGCGAGTAGGTACCTTCAATAAAGTTGCGTCATGCTGCAAAGACTCAGAAAGAATATCATTTTAAATTGTCTCTCTTACATAAAAAAATACGATCATTCTACAAAGCATTCCCTTAGATGCTGCTGTGTGCTTTTGGGCATACATACTCAAACTACAACCGAATCTAGTGAATCTTGTGATGCTCAGGTAAGTGCAGATTCACGGGAAGGGTGGCACGTGTGTGTACGTCTGCACCTGTTGTTCATTTGCAGGCTGAGCTTCCGGCTCTGGTGTTTTGATGAGGACGGTTAAAAATATGAAGTAGGTGTGGTGAGTAGGAATGAGGCAACAAACTTCTTTCAGCTGGCAGGAGAAACCTTAGGAAAATACTGCAGGCCTCAGTATGTTCTCTATATAAAGAGCTGCCAGGTTTTCACAGAGAAACTGGAGTGGCCTGTGTATTTTCATTGTTTAGGACATTGGTTACTCGTTGAGTAATAAAAAATACTTGCTGGGATGGAAGATGGTGGATCAGTACCCAGCTCCAGTTCTGCTCTGAAACCTTCTAGGGATCTTCACTGATGACCTGTGATGTAACGCAATATGGCATTGGCCCCATCAAGGGTCTCGTCCTTGGCCAGCACTATGTCGTAACGGTCCAGGTACGACTCCCTCCAATCCTCCACCTGTTG